GACCCTCGCGGACTTGAACAAAATATATCACCGAGGCCGGCCCAAGATAGAGAACTGTCGTATCTCCTCCGTTCGGAGATCGGCGGCTCTGTAACTAACCATGATCTCCAACTCAGCGATCTTTATTCTCATAGCTTCTTCAGATAGGGCACCTAAAAGTTTTGGAAAACACTTGTTTCATCCCCCCCCGGGGTGGTGGGGAGGGGAAGGGGAGAGAGAGGAGCGGGTGAGGTGGAGGAGCAAAAGCCAGAGAGAGAAGAAGTTGAAGTTGAGAAAGTTGGATTTGACGGGGCGGTTGGTGAGTTAGGTAAGCAGGAATGTCCAGTGGCGGTGTGCCTGATAGGGCTGTGGCTGGGCACATGGAGATATCATTTAACCACGGGATAATAATTAATTACTCTAGCAATGATAGACTGCACAACTAGTATGTATGTATGTATGTATGTACAAAACACATCTGCAGTTGAGGAACGGCCCAAAATATGGAGAATAAAAAGCCAGTTTCTTTCTGGCCAGCATACACATAAGGATATGCTGGATTCTTTCTGTCAAGACTCAAACCACCCGAAAACCGTTGGGGAAGTTTTACTCCTTGGACCACACTCCTATTTATACTAGAAGCTTGGAAAGATACAGAACTTCTTGATGCAGAGTTCTTCTTCCTGAGACGAAGAAGTTTATTTCCCGTGCTCAATGCCCCTCCTTGCTGAGGGCCATATGCTGCTCAAAACAGAAGGTTGAGCGTTGCAAAACCCCATGCTAGACAAGTGGCATTTTGGGAATATCTTTCCCTCGTGTGCAGCCTATGTGTGCGAAGGGAAAAAAAAATATATATATATATATACAGATTCCAATACCATATTACCCCGAGCATCCCAAGGATTCTATATACTATATGCCGAAGGGTTGAAGCACGGGTTTTTCCACAGTGCAGAATCTCCCAAATTCGAAGCTCATGATTCCAGCTCAATTTCGACGACTGCCTCCAACGTGATATTGACTCTGCTCTCAATGCAGCTGGTATATCATTAAAAGTGACAAAAGACATATTCCCCTCGAAGGGTTTACGGCTCCTTGTCATGATTCAAGTGGTTTCTGTTACAACAGAGCCTGCAGAAGCGTTATTGAGAGCGTCAATACCACGCACATACGGCTACCCGTTACTATATAGGTTTCCTGACAGCAGTCTATTCTGTGATCACCATTATCTCCTGGGATTTCATTTTCAACATACTTCCCGCCGCTTGTGGGTCTGTTAGCTAGCGCAGAGGAAGTCCCAAATTATCGGTTTTAAGGGGGTGAGTGGCTGCAATTCTTGAATCTAACAATCTCTCTCTGTGATGCTGGTTCGCAAATCTGATGTCGTTGAGGTGAAAAAGCTCTCTGCTTTAAATCAGCGAAAGCCTTCGAGCAAGTCAATCATTATCCAATGCTCCTTCTTCTCCTCTCCCTATCGAACGATGCGAGACTTCTAAACGATGCAGTGTTGAGAAAGGGAAAGAATATCGAGAGAGACAAAGCACAATTGACTTAGGAATTTAGCTATCTCTCTGCGAGTCGCAAGGCCACTGGCGCTTCAGCTCGCTCGTCGATCTTCAGGTCCTCATCTTCTACTGACCTCTCAGTTCAGTTATAATTTTACCTCCACCCGACAACACACGCCAACATCATCTTAAAAACCCACAAATCTATACTGGATTCAGTCTCCTTACATGACAATGGTAGGAAAGCAGTCATCCTCAAAACGCAGACAATGATTCAGTGATTCCCTGGTCCTACCTCCATGTGAGTCATGCATCGACCAACTCTCCACACTAATGGAAGAATGTTCTTCTCATTCCCAATTTCACATCTCACATTTAACACTTGCCAAAATGCTTATGATCAGGCTTATTTCTACTGCTCCTATCCAATTCCGCGTGGGAAAGAACGTGCGAAAATCTTCACACCCATGAAGGGCTGCTCAAGTCCCAATCGCTCTTCTTTCGTGGAATGCTGCGTCATAACTTACAGAAACAAAGATCATAGGATCAATCCTCCAGATGATGACGTGAAAACTGTCGCGGTGTTTCTTCAATGGCTTTATACAGGAAAATTTTACGATGGAGATATCCCCCGTTAGCGACATGGATATTTTTGCCGACGGAGGTAGAATTACCTTGAAAGTTTTTAGAAAGTCAAGACTGTGGGATTTATGGATACACTGGTCGTATCGAAAGAAATGTTATAAATGCCTTTCATAACTACATTTATCACATATAAATTACGTCCACAATCGAAAATCTCCTATCCTTCCAACCAGACCTCTATCAATAACGGACTTAAGTTCCGAACAAGTTAAACGCCATGAGGCACAGCTCCTCAACTCCAGCTCTAGCTCCAACGTCCGTCTGCTCTTCTCGTACTACATCTTTGCAGACAAAATCCAAGATCCTTTTCAAAAATCACATTCACAACCAGCTCGTGGTTGCTGACAACGTTGTCCCGTGCCCCTTTCTTTCTGTAGGAGATATTTGATGGGTATATGACAACACGTCTGAAGGGGAAGGCTTGGTTCGCCTCTCCTGTCTGGTGATGTAGTGCGGGCCAAATCTAACGATCCACCCATCTGATTCGGAGTTCTTGGACATGAGCGGTGATATCAAGCTGTTTTCAAGGCGAGTGCTAGCAAGGTGCAAGGCTCGTATTACAGATGACAAAGTTTCAGCGCAGAATCCGAGATCCCGTAAGCGGGTGTGATTTTGGATTGTTGCGTCTCGGAACTACTCCATTTTCAACGGGATGGGCCGTACCTAGGTGGCGGGATGAACCGGTTTGAAAATGCGAGTGAGCTATTTTAACTACGGAGGTTCAAATTGGTGACTCTGGTATTTTGCTGCTTCATCATTTTGCGCCCTCGAAAATTGCATTTTGGTTTTTATATATCACCACTCCCCCACTACATATCTAGACCTTAGCTATGAGGGAAGCATTCCAAGGCTTCAAGTCGTTGAGCATCACTCGGTGGCAAGAGCTGTGACCAAACCGGAGGTTTTCACCTGGAGAAGCGAATCGTTTTATTATCAATGAAAAGGGGCATTGACTACGCGGGAAATTTATAAAGTCGGTTCTTCTAGGAGTTGATTGTTTTGCACAGGCATGGATAATCAATGGCCTCATGGAATAGCATTGGCGCTTCCGGAGCATATCATAGGAGGCACACTCCTAACTAGTTATTTACCCGGGAAGATATACGCATTATTGCTGCCCGTCAACTTTAATCCGAGAGGAGCAAAACCTTCAACTCTACAAATAAATTTGTAATAGTAATAATCAGTCCACGTGGGTCAAAACTCTCAGTCGCATTGATGACATCATCCGTTCAGCCTCCAAGGGAAGAAACTTCAACTTCTTTTGACGTTCGCAAGCTTCAACCTCACCTCTACAGAGAATTCGCAGACGAGACACAGACAGTCTCGACCCCCTCTGCGAACAAGCTCCACGGCATATGCTCCTCGCACCAGCCAAACGGTTTATATTTCGCCTTCATTAGACTCGAACCTTAACCTTCCGTTGTGGAGAAACTGGGGACGCACATACCGGCGATCTGCTGTGCATGAATCCCTCAAGTTTCAACTGACTAGCTCATACATCTCAATACCAAGTTTCCTATCGTCTTCTCCTCTGTAATAAAGAAGTCCCTCAGGAACTGTGAATCATCTAGCTCAGAACCGTCTTTTGAAGCGGACCAGGCCATCGGAACGCTGTACTCCCTTCCAGCCTCTGCTTTAACCGCATGCGACTCCCAAAGTACATACATATCAATACAAGCCTACAGCAGGTCCAAACTCTCCATTTCAACTTCGGTATTCCTTTCTAGTTGCACCAAAATAAGGGCTTGAGCGACCGCAAAGGGTGGAGAAAGCGATAGAAAAAGTGAGAAACGGACCAAGGGAACAGCATCGAACGACGGCAGGAGAAATTTCCAGACACAGGCTGAACCAGTCATTATTCCCCCTCAACTGAAGTCGAGCCTCCCTTTTTGGCAACATTTATTACTCTGTTATCTTTTTGTTACCTTCCCTGTAGGCGTTTTCTGGGAGAAATTGAGCATCTTGTCAACATGTCGACTCCCACGTTGATCGATCTTCCCCCGCCACCATCTGAGCCGGTTACCCCTTCGGACATGGGCCCGTATGGATCTCCCCTCAGCTTGCCCTTCCGCCTCCTCCATCTCCATTAGAATATAAATTCCTGTTTAGATGTAATTTTGCTAACTTCGATATTCTTGTTAACAGCAGCACGCCAAATTCCGGCACCACGTCACTCTCAGCTCTTTCCACCACAGCTATTAAAGACGGCCACCAGGGCCACTGCCACCGTTCTCACCACGCCCACCGCTCCTCGAACGCCTCTGAATCGTCCACAACAACTCTAGACGCGGAACGTGCTGACCGTATCTCACGTTTAGCAGGTTTGGAACGCGTAGCCACTAGCAGGCCCAGTGGAGGCGGGCCGAGTTCCTCAGCTAATCCTCAAGGAATGCCCGGGGGATTCAGTTACCAACCCCCAGGCTACTTCGACCACCTGCAACCCCTTTTTAAAGAGCGAAGCACTGTCGGTAGCGCTAGTGCAACAGGCAGTATCGGCGGACGCACGACTTGGGCTAGCAGCAGCGACATTTTCGAATCAGATAGACCAGGCGATGACGACGGTGTCTCTAGCGTAGCCGGACTAAGCGACGAGGGAAGCTCCAGCCTCGTTGGCTTTGGAGAGGGCGCAAACAGCACTGTCAGCGGGCCTGTTTCGACCCCTGCCGTTAGAATTCCTGTTACTTCTGGCCGCGGGGCGAGCGGTGGTAGTGGAAATAGCCCTGTATTAACCAATAGGCCACTTCCAAGCCATACGTCATCGTCCCTACACGTGTCAACCGGAGCGGACAATGCTAGTGGGGACTCATCGCTCCCATCGGCGGAGACTCGTACGCCTGACCAACTGGTGGCCAGTCCTGATCTCAACACACAAGCGCGGATGGTTGATGGTGCAACGTACGATGCTAACATTGTGGATACGGCAGCTCGGCCTCTTGAACCTCTAGGCCCAGATGATGAAAATAACTGAGCGGATGTGCCATAGGCATGTTGATAGGAGATTACCCTGATGATAGGATGTTGGGGGGGGGGGGGG